TTCAGCGCGCTCTGCCTTAAAGAGGCAGGAGCACAAAATAACCTCTACACAAATATATATAACACTTTTTATAAGACAAATAAAAATGTATGAAAAACATTCCCAAATAAAATAATCCATTTACATATAGTGAAATAAAATAAAATAAAATAATAAACTAGCAAATTTAAAGGTTACATCACTACCAAAAAATGTCCAAACAAATACATTAGGAATCTAATGCACACTAAAACACTTCCTGCAGCACGATCCTTTTGGGCTTCTCAGTTTGAAGAAATCAAATGGGAAAGAATGTGGTTAATTGGGGACAAGTTCCTCTTAAATAATAAAATAAAGGAGGTGTCTTATAAAATTGTACATAGAATATACCTGTCACGATGTGGGTTTGTGTCCTGTCATGTTCTTTGGTTCCCTGTCTTGTCTTGTCTATTAGTTATCCCAGGTGTTTCTGATTATCCACGCCCCCTTGTTATCCTGTCTAGCTCGTTTGTCTCTGATTATTTAAGCCCTGTGTTTCTGCCCTGTCTTTGTGAGTTCTTGGCCCTGTCCCAATATCCGCACTTGCGCCCTTGTGCCCCTCAATACGCGTTCTCACTCAGGGGTTCAAGACCGTAGGGTGTCCCGATCCTCTAACAGTGTTCTCCAGGGGTGATCATAAGGGCACTTAATGCACCCCTTTCGCAAGTGCGGATCAGACCTCACTTTGCTATGGGATATTACCCAGAATCCTTGTAGTATTGTGACGTTTCGAACAGCTAACCAATGGGGGAGAACGGTTGCTGGTGCTGTTCGGGAGCGGAAACTCCGAAGTTAAAGGAAGCCGGACGGTGTGGTGAAGAGTTTTTCAGTCAAGAATATAGTTGTTTAAAGCTCAAATCTGTGGTTTCACTGAATCTTTTAACTTGCTTTATTTCTTGACTTATATACAGGGGTGCACATAACTGGTACGCAGGTACGCATGCGCGACATAAATCAGGAATGCGTAATGCCACTTCTGTTACTACGCGCCTTTGCGTAACTGTCGCCAAAATGCAACCTAGGGTCTTTTTGTTAATCTACCCGAGGCAAACTTTCGTTTTAAAGCATAATTAGAATGGAAACGCCACTTTTAAGTTTGACCGTATTTTCGTTTTCGGAGAGCTAGGGGCACGTATATGATAGCAACAAAAATCGCTATTTTTAAAACACTTAGAAGGCTCGACACAACATGAAACTTTGCTCAAAGTATCACCAGGGGACATGAACTCCAGCATTGAGAACATTGTTTGTGTACACAGAGTTTACTAAAAAGAAAGATTTTGAACAACTCACTGTAGCTGTGTCCGCCGGAACAGTAACACCGGCATTTTGTCAGTCAAAAATAGTCGATCTCCGAATGCGAATGAACTGACTCTGAATTTTAGTATTGTTTCTTATGAGGATCCTTTTTCAAATACAAGGTCAATATTGTTTTTCACTTATGACAAAACAACAAATTATCCGTGAATTTTTAATGGAACTAAGCTTTAGGAGCTTTCCATCTTTACTCTCCTCCCTGTTAAGTTGCATTCGGAGATCGACTATTTTTGACTTAAAAAATACCGCTGACAGTGAGTTGTTCAAAATCCTCACCATGAAGTCTAATGAACGCGATGGAAACTAAACAATCAAATTACACTTCAAAATAATTATTTCCAAAGATGTTTTCTGTCATTTTAGGTAGTTTTATTCACGCTGATGTAAATTTAAGTGTTCGTTTTTTAAAATAAGTTTGGTCTTTAGTTAGTTATTTGATGCTATAAAACCGGGAATGTGACATCATGATTGACAGCTTCTACACTGAGGAGGACTGCACTTATTAAGACCAGGCTACATATGGGGTGAGTACCAAACACCATCTCCTGGTACTCACCTGAGTAACTCACTGAAAAACTTATGTGCACCCCTGCTTATATAGCTTCTTATACTTTTTAGGCTACTTATACTTTAATAATGGCTATTATTGATCAATAAAACTGAAATTTAACAAAAAGAGACAGGGTTGTGTCATTTTATTTAATATAGCCTATGTAAGACTATTTTAATATATAGCCTAATATATCACCAACACGTCATGTATTTTTTCATGTATGGGATGGGAAGAATTTCATATATCAATTTCCATAATAACATAATTAAAATTGCATTTTGAATCGCTGTGAAAACGGTAAGGCAGTATAAGCTCAGGTAAACCTCAATCACAATTTATCTTAGCCAAAAACTGTTTTAATATTAATAACATTAACAGAAAGGTTGGTAGCTAAGAGTAAAAAAAGATATTAATTTTTTCATTCAAAGGATTGTGTCATGTTACAGCTATTATAAGCAGCACACACATTAGCCAAATGTAAGGTGTTTGCTCCCCTGATCACAACAGAAGTGACGTAGATTGTGACGTGTGCAAAACTGTCCCAATTCTGCTCTTCACAGCTTCGGGCCCTTGCGCACTTACTCCGCTAAGTGCACTTTCAACAAGTGTCCACTTCGAGGAAGACCTTAGGGCGTAGTGTGGGTATTGGGACAGGGACCTTGTTTAATGTTTGACTGTTAACGTTGATGTTGGTTGTTCTTGTATCCTGTTCCTGAGTCCCGAGTCCTGTATCCAAGTTTAGTTTATAGTCTGTTAAATAAAGCGTGTGTTGCATTTGGATCCTGCTTCATCTATGCTTCAACCGCACTTCGTTACAGAAGAACTCACCACATCGTGATCCAGCAGCCATGCCTGTCTGGAGTCCAGACGCCCAGATTCTTCGTCTCCGTCAAGAGAATCGCACCATAGAGGAGTACGTCGCGGACTTCATTGAACTGGCACATCTCGCGCAAATGAGAACCCAGTGCTTGATGATCTTCTTCCGCGGGGGATTATCGGAACCACTCCGGTCTCTGATGCCCGAACCTGATCCGCACGGGTCTTTAGAGTGGTATATTGACCTTGCCCTGTTGTGGAGCGGCTTTTCGTTTACTGTGGGCGTGGAGGAGAAGAAGCTGCGAGAGCCTGCGCTTCACGTCAGCCCGGTCACGCCCGCGCTTCACTTCAGCCCTGCCGAGACCGCGCTCCACGAGCCTGCACTTCACGACTTGCCGGAGCTTCTTCCAGCCGAGCCCGCACTCCGCGAGACTGCGCTTCACTTCAGCCCTGCCGAGACCGCGCTCCACAAGCCTGCAATTCACGTCTGCCCAGTCGAGCCCGCGCTTCACTTCAGCCCTGCCAAGACCATGCTCCACGAGCCTACACTTCACATCTGCCCAGTCAAACCCACTCCTCGTGTCGGACCCCTCGAGCCCTTATTCCGCACTGGTCCTGTTGAACTTGCTAATCCAGAGACAGCGGAGGTTTCATCGGCCGAACCGGAGTTTGAGCGCGTGCCAGCCGACTCGAAGGAATCAAGTAAGTCAAGTGAGTCAAGTGAATCAAGTACCGAGTCGAGTGAATCAAGTGCCGAGTCGAGTGAATCAAGTGAGTCAAGTGCCGAATCCAGCCAAGTGAGTGAATCAAGCCAAGTGTGTGACTCAAGCCCAGTGATGCGCTGTCGCAGGAGGAGGAGAAGGAGGACTCGTTCGGTTCGCCAGGCTCCGGTGAGCGTACCCAGACTCCTCGCCCTGCCGGCCCCGCCTCTGCGCCTCGCCTTGCCAGTGCCCTTCAAGCTCCGGGAGGCTTCTCTTGAACCCGTTTACAGCCCGGAGGTTCCTCCCGTGGATTTCCCCAAGTATTTTTTCGGGGGGGGGGGGGGGGGGGGGCAGTAGGTATGGACGCTGACATGGACCTTGCCTCGTCCTGCTCCGCCCTGGCCTTCGCCTCGTCCTGTTCCCCCCTGGTCACCGGCCCAGTCTGGTCCGCCCACGCTCTGCGGCGTGAGTTCTTGTTTAATGTTTGACTATTAATGTTGATGTTGGTTGTTCTTGTATCCTGTTCCTGAGTCCCGAGTCCTGCATCCAAGTTTAGTTTATAGTCTGTTAAATAAAGCGTGTGTTGCATTTGGATCCTGCTTCATCTCTGCTTCAACCGCACTTCGTTACAATACCCAGCAAAGAAAACTTTAGAGAGATTTAAAATTGATATTGAATATTCCTGTACCTTTTGTGGTAATTATGATGAAACAATTTGTCATCTGTTTTATGATTGTACATACAGTAAGATATTTTGGAGAGATGTTGAAAACTATATAAGACGTAAAAAAAGGTGATTTTGAACACCTTTTAGCAGAGCTAAAGCAATATCACACCACTGTAAGAGGTCTTTAAAATAGAAAGGCTATTAAGACCGATCTTGTACTCTCTAAATATGTTTAATTTGCATCCTTTTATGTAATTTGGTCTTGTTTTTTTTTTTTTTTTTTTTATGGTTATTGTTTGTCTTGTATGTCTGTTTTAGTAGTGTATTTTGTGTATCAACCCTGGCATAAACAGATGTTGTTGTATTATATTGTTAATACTGAAAAAAAAAAGAAAAAAAAGACAGTTTTTTCTAACACTTTTATCATTTTATGATGGTTGTGTACAGGCACTGCCAACACACATTTCAGTACAATCAACTTGTAAAAGTGCATGTATCATTCATTGTATGACCCCTTTAATGTACAAATACAGAAAGTTTGCTATGTTTGTTGTTTTTAGGGTTATGGTAGTTAGGGTTAGGGGATCAAATATACAGTACAGTTTGCACAGTATCAAAATCATTATGTCTATGGAAAGTCCCCATAAAACATGGAAATTAACTTATAGTAGCAATTTGTAGGTTTATTTCACCAAAATGCCCGAAAGCACTCTTATATACTTCTGTGTCAGTGGTCATTATTTTGTAATTACATTTGCAGCGCACAATTTTTGCACCACTGGTATCACAAAACAAAATTGCACAAAAATAATGACACTCCCCTGCTTGCCATTGGTTGGACATACAGATAGTCTTGCACAAACATAGACATAACATAGACATAAAATTAAAAGAATAACACATGAAAGACTGTTGATAATAAACTGGATTATTTTTTTAACAAAGACCAGCTATTTGACTTAAAAAAAAGTGTATATATCAAGGAAAATTTATCAAAGTGTTTTATCAAATTGCACTCACACAGTTTCAGTCTGCTAAAACATTCAGAAGAACGTTAGAGGGTTGGCTATTGCGTCATTTCCTAGGTGTTTTTTAAGGAATGATAGTATATCCGCACTGAACAGATTTGTATGGTAATCTCTGGTGTCTGCTTGGGAAACGGGGTTCGGGTTTCTTTTTGTGCAAATGTCCTTCACTCCCCAGCTTACGACACCAACCTATCAAAGATTTTACAGATATTAAAAAAGGTTCCTATTTCTCAGCTTGAGAGTTGTAAACAATTCACCCTGTAACACACAAATTCCAATTGGAAGTGAACATCCCTTTGGCTTTATATATATATATAATATATATATATATATATATATATACACTCACCGGCCACTTTATTAGGTACACCTGTCCAACTGCTCGTTAACACTTAATTTCTAAGCAGCCAATCACATGGCGGCAACTCAGTGCATTTAGGCATGTAGACATGGTCAAGACAATCTCCTGCAGTTCAAACCGAGCATCAGTATGGGGAAGAAAGTTGATTTGAGTGACTTTGAACGTGGCATGATTGTTGGTGCCAGAAGGGCTGGTCTGAGTATTTCAGAAACTGCTAATCTACTGGGATTTTCACGCACAACCATCTCTAGGGTTTACAGAGAATGGTCCGAAAAAGAAAAAACATCCAGTGAGCGGCAGTTCTGTGGGCGGAAATGCCTTGTTGATGCCAGAGGTCAGAGGAGAATGGCCAGACTGGTTCGAGCTGATAGAAGGGCAACAGTGACTGAAATAACCACTCGTTACAACCGAGGTATGCAGCAAAGCATTTGTGAAGCCACAACACGCACAACCTTGAGGCGGATGGGCTACAACAGCAGAAGACTCCACCGGGTACCACTCATCTCCACTACAAATAGGAAAAAGAGGCTACAATTTGCAAGAGCTCACCAAAATTGAACAGTTGAAGACTGGAAAAATGTTGCCTGGTCTGATGAGTCTCGATTTCTGTTGAGACATTCAGATGTTAGAGTCAGAATTTGGCGTAAACAGAATGAGAACATGGAACCATCATGCCTTGTTACCACTGTGCAGGCTGGTGGTGGTGGTGTAATGGTGTGGGGGATGTTTTCCTGGCACACTTTAGGCCCCTTAGTGCCAATTGGGCATCGTTTAAATGCCACGGCCTACCTGAGCATTGTTTCTGACCATTTCCATCCCTTTATGGCCACCATGTACCCATCCTCTGATGGCTACTTCCACCATGTCACAAAGCTCTAATCATTTCAAATTGGTTTCTTGAACATGACAATGAGTTCACTGTACTAAAATGGCCTCCACAGTCACCAGATCTCAACCCAATAGAGCATCTTTGGGATGTGGTGGAACGGGAGATTCGCATCATGGATGTGCAGCCGACAAATCTGCGGCAACTGTGTGATGCCATCATGTCAATATGGACCAAACTCCCTGAGGAATGCTTCCAGCACCTTGTTGAATCTATGCCACGAAGAATTGAGGCAGTTCTGAAGGCAAAAGGGGGTCCAACCCGTTACTAGCATGGGGTACCTAATAAAGTGGCCGGTGAGTGTATATATATACAGTGTGTGTGTGTGTGTGTGTGTGTGTGTGTGTGTGTGTGTGTGTGTGTGTGTGTGTGTGTGAGAGAGAGTTTCCTCTCCGCTCTTCAAAACTTGCCGTCTTTTCTTTGGACCCTGCAGCTAATCACATCACATAACGGTTCTACCATTTAAACGTATTTCTTACCTCCATAACTTATTTAAACTTCATATGAAATAATGCATAATGAAAATGTGTGCAATATATCACAACAAAACAAAACAACTTAAATTATTCTACATCAACTGTTCATACCCAATCACGAGGACTCACCACTCTGAGTCATATGACCATAAATGGTAGAATAACTTCCTTTGAAGTGAGCATGGCATGTACCCTTCACTGATGGACTTGTGGAAGGGCCCTTCATGAAGGAGTACACTTCGTTTGGCACGCCTCTATTTAATGGCGTCCTCTCCCTGAAGAGCCATTTTATACAGGACTTCACAGCCACATCACCAATATTGTTTTTAACAGGAAATGGAAATCTCACCTGAATCAGTCGACCTTTTTTACTTATGTAAGTGGCCCCACCGAATTCACCTATTACAAAATGAGATACAGACACAAGGAACTATAATATATCAATTAATTTCATATCTCTGATTAAAATGTTTTCAACCAATGTTATGAAGTGGTATTAAAGCCAAATATAAAAGCTGCTGTCACAATGGCAAAAATCAAACATACCTTTGCAGGCAACATCATCTGTTTGTGGTTCATTACCACCACTGCACAGAAAATTGTCTGTAACTACATCTCTTGCGTTTGTCACATTGATTCCTTCTGCTTTTTTTGCATCTTCAACACAAGCATCCCGCTAAAGAGTAAGTACACCAAGAAGTGTTCTTAGATTGTTGTGGATGAAATGTTTTTATATAAATATATTAAAATAATACGTTTTCTGTCGCATATTACATAATTAATGTTAAATGGCTAAATGAAATTCAAGTCCTAGGAAATGATTGTGCTGTATGAACTTTGTGACATTTAGGCCCCAAAAAATCAAAGTTAAAGTTTTGTTGCTTTCTTATACTCATAATGCACTGGAGAATTTTTTTTAAAGAGAAACTATTTAAATTACTACACATCAGATTAGAAATAAAAAATAAAATCATTACATATTTCCCACGCTTGATCTTGATGTTTCTTATTTTTTCTGGTACTTTTGGTACAGAACCGGTAGTTTCTGTTTTTCTTTTCATTTTGGACGTAAAAGAAGCTTCCACAAGTTCGTTGCTCATTAGTAATTCCTCTGTAACAAATGCAAAATGTATGACATTTTATGTTTGGTATATTTCATTGTATAAGCAGTGGCACAGGTTTAATATAGCTACATTTAATAAATCTTTCACACTTTTTGATAGGATTCTAATATGCATGCAGCAGGTCTGACAGATATCTAATCTGGCTCCTTACCGTGTCTTATGCACGTCCCTTCACTGTCTGAAAGTTTCAGAGCTCCATTGGTTTCTTTGGTGCAGGGGATGCAGATAGGTCTGTACAGAGATACACATGATGTTCTTTAATTAATTCAGCCTTTTTTATTATTCTTAATAAAGTTACATCACGTTACATACTCCTCACCGTAGATTAGCACTCATCGTGACAGGTTCTTTCAGCTGTATAAGAGCTACATCAAATTCATAATATTCCTTTATTCTAGGCTGTTTTGCTGTGATGTTATATTTAGGATGAAGTATGAATTTTTCCACTTCTACAAATGCAAAAGGACAAGTAAACGTCGTTGATAAGATTTATGCTGTAACACATTTTTCTTCATTAATCATCTGACATCCGGGTGTATCAGTTCAGGACATAACATTACTTTCTTTCAGGTCTTTTTCCAGATGAACTGTTATCTTATCAGGTGTGTCTCCGTTTTTTAAGCAATGAGCTGCTGTCAAGATGTAACTTGAGGTAACTAATGACCCCATGCAGTTGGAAGAACCTTTTGATAAATGCTACATGAAGAGCAGAAAAGATAGATGTTGTCATGCTTCATCTCTATTGCCATATAACTTGCATGTCTATTTTGCCTCTTCTTGTGTTTTTTTTTAATGAGCTAAGTATTATACACATGAATCTATCTATAATTATATATATATATATATATATATTAGGGGTGGGAATCTTTGGTCACCTCACGATCCGATCCGATTCCGATTCTGGGAGTCACGATCCGATTCCAGAACGATTCTTTATCTATTCTATTATCTTTATCATAACTGGCTGTGTTTACGTTAATTTTGCACAAGTACATTAAACCACTGAGTCGCGGCGGCGCGAGCAGTCTCACAAACAAAGCGCGCGTCAGCATTTGAAATTGAAAGCAGCCTTCTGTTAGTGAGGTTCATATTTTAAATATATAAGTCCACTGCATTCCAAACCACATAAATGATGACTTCGTAGAGCATTTGTAAGGAAAATACCGACGGGCGAGACAGCACACTTCAAGTGTAACATCAAAGAAAGCGCGCGTCTCTCACAGCGTGTGCAATGAAGCCTGTGAATGTCCTTGTAATTCGCTTCAACCTTTCCGAACTTTATGAAAGATTATTTTACGGAAGGTTCGAGTGGTGTATGTGTGTGAGGAATTTGTTTTGATGATTGGAAAGGACTGTATAATTTGACTGGTATTTAAAGGGTTGTGGCCACCAGGGGGCATCGATTAGAATGCAGACAAGATGTTCCGTTTAGGTGTTTTATTAAAATAAACGTTTAATGTGTGTGGTTCTGAAAAACAGAGATACAGGCATAAATCAGTAAATGTAGACTCTCTATATAAATGTCAAAAAGTTATTACATGCATAGCAGGTATATAATAAACAAAAAACGATCAAGATATTAAATTATAGTTTTGTTATGTAAGACTTAAATGCAGTGTTATAATAAATGCTTATCACTAAGCAAATACAAACTTAGAAATGCCATAATACACTATATCCCTGGTCAAAGATTAATTTGCTGCACATTAACTGCAACAATATACAACAGGCTAAATTCAGCTGAATATAATAATTATGAACTGCAGAGTTATTCCTTCAAATAAACAATGTTACACATTGAGCAAGAACAACAGACGTTATTTTCAATAGAGACACGTAAGGCTTGTAGAGCAACAGCGTTCTCAACAATTAAACACACAGACGGAGAAGCCCCGCCATTATACAAAAACAAGCACTAACGTACCACGACATTATTATGAGGTAAAACTAACAACAAACATCAGTATACTTACTGGTAGTTGCACGCACACAATTCTAGGAACTTATAATAAGTACAGCAACACTATTATATTTTCTATATCAATCAATATAGACTACACAGTCTTTCAACATCAGCGCTCTTTCAAACTTTCCCGAAACTGAATGAAACTGAAAGCTGTCTTCTTCCGCGGACCGCAGAGCGCAGTGCCGCTCCTGATTGGCTGATTCCCAAGCAGCCAGTTTTATCTACCTGAAGAAGTCATTCTTCGTCACAGCCGCCCCCAAATTTGTTATATTAAATTTGCCTCTCTAAGAAGGACTGACCGTATCAGTATCTGGTATGGCAGGCAGAGCTACAAGGCGAGCGACAGGCCTCGTGTAGAATTTGTCCTTGACCTTGACTACTGCAGTCCTGACTCTTCCATCAGTTCCTGGAATAACCTCAGTGACATGACCTAAAGGCCACTGCGCTCTTGGCAGCTGCGGGTCCACCACCATCACTATGGTTCCAGTTTGCAACTGTGCAGGGTCCTTATGCCACTTGGAGCGAGTCTGAAGAGTTGGGAGGTAGTGTCGGACAAAGTAGGACCAAAACTGGTCAGCCAGCACCTGAGTATGTCTCCAGCGGCGACGACTCAGGAGCTCAGACTCAGCATAGACCGCCTGTGGTAAAGAGGGGTCGAGCCGCCCCATGAGGAGCAAGTTGGGGGTCACTGGGTCAGCATCAGCCACGTCTGTTGACACGTAACCCAGTGGTTTGGAGTTTAAAATCCCCTCCACTTCAATAAGTACTGTCCGTAGGACCTCTTCAGGGACAGTCTGTGACTGGATGGTGGCATACAGTGCAGCTTTAACAGACCTCACTTCCCTTTCCCAGACTCCTCCAAAGTGTGGGGCGCTTGGGGGGTTAAACTGAAACTTAATCTGGTGTTTAGCCAGATGCGCCTGGAGTATGGGGTGTAGTGACCTGAAAGCCTCCTGGAGTTCTCTTTCACCTCCCTTAAAATTAGTGCCCTGGTCGGACCGGAGCTCTGCTGGCTTACCCCTTCGTGCAATGAAACGTCGGAGGGCCATCAGAAAGGAATCCGAGTCCATACTGGACAGAACATCCACGTGCACAGCGCGCGTCGTCAGGCATTTAAATAGTATTCCCCATCTCTTCTCGTGGCGACGGCCAACCTTCACTGTGAAAGGCCCGAAGCAGTCCATGCCCGTAGAGAAGAATGGGGGCTTCATCAGCCGTAGTCTGGACTGTGGGAGGTCTGCCATCTTGGGCACAACTGGAGAGGCTCTCCATCTCTGGCAATCCGGACAGGAGTGCTGGTGGCGCTTAACAGCTTCACGGCCATGCAAAATCCAGTATTTTCGCCGCAGCTCTGCAAAAAGGCGTTCTGATCCTGGATGGCGAAGGCTCTTGTCCATGTCCTGGATGATGAGCTGGGTCACTTTGTGCCGATGGTCCAGGACCACTGGATGAATAGAATCTGGCTCTAGCTGGTCGCTGCGGCGGAGCCTTCCTCCAACTCGGATAAGTCTCACAGTCTTATCATACTCTGGTGCTAGGGAGATCAGCCTACTGGTGGCAGCTACTGGCTTACCGGTGCTCAAGAGGCTGAGCTCCTCAGCGAAGCTTTCCTGCTGGGCTCGTCTCAATACTTCTCTCTCTGCTTCTTGGTAGTCATCAGCAGAAAGGCTGACGGGGTTCACTGATGAAACAGAGCTGGATTGTGCAACCGCCTCTATCAGCGCTCTGAACGAAGAAAACTGATCAGTATTTGGTAGCAGAGAAGTCTGTATGCTTGTAGTGAAACAGCAGGCAGGGAGTTTTCGCAGCTCATCAGAATTCTCTGTCACCTCTGTGGCTGGCTGTGTAGGCCAGACTTCAGGCGACTGTTGTAGGAAGGCAGGGCCCTGGCTCCATCTGTTCTTACCAGCCAGTTCCAGCAGTGTTTTTCCCCGCGTTATGTCATCAGCTGGGTTGTTGGCAGAATCCACATATCTCCAGGCCCGGATATCAGTCAGCTCCTGGATTTCAGCTACCCGTGTTCCCACGAATACCTTGTACCGACAGGAGTCGGACTGAAGCCATGTGAGTACTGTTGTGGAGTCTGTCCATAAGATAACATTGCGGATATTCACAGTCAGTTCTCTTTGGAGTAGTGCAGCTAGCTGTGCAGCTGTCAGGGCAGCACACAGTTCTAGTCTTGGTATTGATTGCTGCTTCTTCGGGGCTACTCTGGATCTAGCAGTCAGGAAAGACACTTCCACACGGCCGTGTGAGTTCTCCGTCCGCAAATAGGCCACTGAGCCATATGCCTTCTCTGACGCATCAGCAAAGATGTGTAGGTCTCTCTGGAGGTTTGAAGGGTTCATCTCAGGGCTCACATAGCAGCGAGGCAGTATAATCTGGGAGAGATGCTGCAATTCTTCCTCCCACGTCAGCCATGGCTGCAGCACATCCTCAGGTAGTGACGGGTCATCCCAGTCTCTCTGCTTGTCCCACAAGTGCTGCACCAGGACCTTGGCACGCGTAGTGAAGGGGACTATAAATCCCAGAGGGTCGAACAGGCGTGCCAGGACTCTGTAAATGTTTCGCATGGTGGGTGTGGGTTGGTCCAGCATACGGTATTTATACCTTAAGGTGTCTGAATTACAGAGCCAGCGGAGTCCCAGTGCGAGCTCCTGTGGGTCAGTGCCTGACTCGTTGAGCCACAACTCACTACTCTCAGATCTTGCTTCTCTGGGCAGATGGCTGATGACCTCAGGGGTGTTACTGGCCCACTGGCGTAACTCAAATCCACCTGTAGCCAACAGTGAGGTCAGTTTGTCTACCAGGTGATGGGCTTCTTCCACAGATGGGAGGCTTTGCAGACAGTTGTCCACATAAAAGGATCGTTCTATCGACACTCGAACATCTTCACCTGGCTGACTGTGATCAAACACATGTTTCTGCAGTGCATAAGTTGCACAGCAGGGGCTACATGTGGTGCCAAATGGAAGGACTTGCCATGTGTAGATGCTGGGTGGTTCCTCTGTATTCAGGTCTCGCCACAGGAAGCGCAGCAAGGGCTTGTCCTCTGGGAGCAGCCTCACCTGGTGAAACATGCCTTTAATATCGCTGCTGACAGCAATTGCATGCTCTCTGAAGCGCAGCAGTACACCCAGTAGACTGGAACTTAAGGTGGGCCCAGGCAACAGCAGCTCATTGAGGTTGTTTCCCTTATACATGTAGGAACAGTTGAACACAATCCTGTTCTTTCCGTTATGGCTCACCATGTGATGTGGGATGAACCAGGACTCGGCTGCTTTGCTCAGCTCCTCTTCTGACGCTTTAACTGCATAGCCCGCCTTTTCCAGCTTTCTAATCTCTGCACAGTATGCAGCTGCTCTTTGCGGGTCTCGCAGCAGGCGCCTCTCTGTACTGCGGAGATTAGCTAACACAGCCTCCTTAGGTGCCTGAAGCTGTGGCATGTTCTTCATCCTGAGGAGGGGAGTAGCGTAGCGCTGAATTCCATCAACCTCTACTCTTGTGGTCTTCGCCTCCAGCAGGCGGACTGCCTCCTGATCCTGCCTGGAGCGTGTGACAAGTTTTTCACTCCTGTAGGGCAGAACATCCAGCTGCCACAATCTCTCGACACTCTGTAGAAGCTCGTTAGTGGGTGAGAGGGTGGAAACGTGCAGGCACTGTTGTGATGTTGCCTGCTGCTTGCTGTACCTGGTCGGCCCCTGAAGTGTCCAGCCCAACTTTGTCTTCACGGCGGCCGGTCCCCCGTGGGGTCCTAAACGCACAGGCTCCACTGGAGTGATCAAGTGGGTATAATCTGACCCAATTAACAGCAGGGGTTGCACTCTGTTAATCGTCTGGAGAGGGAGGCCTCTTAAATGTTTGTACTTCCTCTGAAGTGCCTTCATTGAATAAGTGTGCTCAGCCAGACCCAGTTGATCAGCAGTAAATGCTCTGTATATCTTGAAGGATTTCTTTGGATGGTCTACTGGGGAGATGGAGAACGACACTGCAGTTCCGTGCAGAACCCTGATGTCCTGTCGAACAGTTCTGAGGATCAGATTTTCCGGCTCACCAGTAAGCTTAAGGCTCTGCGCTGCTGCAGGGAGGAGAATGGTTCGCTCCGACCCATCGTCAAGGATGGCATATGTCTCCAAGGTGTGTTCACCGTTACGCAGCAGCACTTTGCTCACTTTCAATAGGACCTGGCTGCATCCAGCCCGCCTGTCCATGTACAGGACTTCATTAGTTGTACTGATGAGGCAGGATGTATCTTCAGCTGCAGGTTTTATATTCACGTCATGCAAAGCTTGCAGGTGTCTCCCCTTACACTTGTGACATGTAATTTTCAGGCGGCACTGTGCAGCCTGGTGTGTGCGACCACATCGCCAGCATCTTTTGTTGGTCTTGATCCACGCTGTTATCTGTTCCACTGTAAGCTGTGCAAAGTTTGCACACTTATCTAGGAAGTGTTGCGTGTTAGAGCAGTAAGGGCAGTATGCTGTCCTCTCTGGCTGCTTGGTGCTAGATAAGGCCTTCTCTACTGTCGGTGTGCTCTCATGTCGGTCTGTGGTGTGCATGATGTTGGTGCTCTTACCACTCTTTGCATCGCGGCGGCGCTCTGTCCTGGGTCCTGCTCTGTTCTTGTTTTCACCGATTAGAGGCTCATACACCGTCTCTTGCATCTTCAGCTCGTAGTCAAGCCAGTCAGAAAAGTGCAATAGGCTTGGGATTGTAACACGCATTGGGTACAGAAACCTCTTAAATTCAGCCCGTATATCATGAGGCAGTTTGGACAGCAGCCGTGTCACATGTGAACCACAGTGAAGCTCAGTCTTTCCATTGTCCCCAAGCTGGTCTAACATTGCGACGAGTGCTCTCACTTTCAGGGCGAATCGCTTAAACCCACTGAAGTCATCACGTGCAATATTAGGCGCCTCCATTAGATCAGCTATTTTTCTGAGAGCTAGCTGGTGAGGCTGTCCATAATGATCAATTAGGCTTGTCATAGTGTCAGTGTAGGGCTGCAGTGAGTTAGTGTATGAGTCCGCTATTAGAAGTGCCTCCTCATACTTTAAGTGGTCCACCAGGATCTGGTATTTAAAGCGCTCCGTAGCGTCCACAGGCAGTAGGTTTTCCAGAGCGACCTTAAGCCTGGCGAACTCTCTCGGATCTCCTTTGGTGAATGCAGGGATTGTAGGTTTAGGCCCGCGGTACACTGTCTCATGGTGGTGGAAGGGTACACAGTACTCTGGTGTCTGTACCCCGGGCACTGGAGGAGTGGGCTCAGGGTGACTGGGATACTCCTGCTGACGTGTCATCTTAATGTCTCTCAGTGCTGTTATGAGCTCTGCCATAAGATCCTGTGATGGTGGCTGATAAACGTTGTCTACTGCTGGGGGTGGTGGCGGTGGCCAGTCGTCATCATCCGGAGGCAGAGTGTGACCACCAGCTTGAACAGGTGGTGGAATTGGCGTGGTTTGGTACGCACCGCCATCCTGCTCTATGTTATGCTGCTGTTGGGGGGGGGCTGGTGTAGGGAAGGGAGAAAAGGCTGTCTGTCGCAGTGCTGGTAGGTCTGGAAGGGAAGTGCGGGCGTCAAGTCGCCTGTGCATGTCCATTACCTGTTGCTGCAGCCTTTGATTATCTTCCCTCAGCTTATAAAGAGCTTCAAGGACCTCAGGTGCTGTTTCTGGGGCAGGCCTCGATCGATCAAAGGCAGGTGTACTCTGAAAGAGGGGTTCTGTATACTCAAACTGGCGTGGATAGGCAGCTTCCGCTCCCCGCATGACACTTCCGTCCTCATGCAGCAATGGTGGTGTGAGAGGCGTCATCCTGGCGTGTCTCTCTGGAAATCTCACCATGCTGTCGTAGGGCCGCTGTGGCTCTGAAACGTTAGCCGCTTGATGAAGCGAACGAGAGGACGGCTGCAATGCTTGAAGGGGAATGTCATAATCTTCCATCCATGCCGGCCGCCGGCTCTCTCGGCGGGGTCGGGCATCTACTGGGCGTGTATACTGATCCGAGAACATCTCTAAACAATCCCACGGTGACCACGCGAATCCGGCTCGAAGGACCAAATGTTTTGATGATTGGAAAGGACTGTATAATTTGACTGGTATTTAAAGGGTTGTGGCCACCAGGGGGCATCGATTAGAATGCAGACAAGATGTTCCGTTTAGGTGTTTTATTAAAATAAACGTTTAATGTGTGTGGTTCTGAAAAACAGAGATACAGGCATAAATCAGTAAATGTAGACTCTCTATATAAATGTCAAAAAGTTATTACATGCATAGCAGGTATATAATAAACAAAAAACGATCAAGATATTAAATTATAGTTTTGTTATGTAAGACTTAAATGCAGTGTTATAATAAATGCTTATCACTAAGCAAATACAAACTTAGAAATGCCATAATACACTATATCCCTGGTCAAAGATTAATTTGCTGCACATTAACTGCAACAATATACAACAGGCTAAATTCAGCTGAATATAATAATTATGAACTGCAGAGTTATTCCTTCAAATAAACAATGTTACACATTGAGCAAGAACAACAGACGTTATTTTCAATAGAGACACGTAAGGCTTGTAGAGCAACAGCGTTCTCAACAATTAAACACACAGACGGAGAAGCCCCGCCATTATACAAAAACAAGCACTAACGTACCACGACATTATTATGAGGTAAAACTAACAACAAACATCAGTATACTTACTGGTAGTTGCACGCACACAATTCTAGGAACTTATAATAAGTACAGCAACACTATTATATTTTCTATATCAATCAATATAGACTACACAGTCTTTCAACATCAGCGCTCTTTCAAACTTTCCCGAAACTGAATGAAACTGAAAGCTGTCTTCTTCCGCGGACCGCAGAGCGCAGTGCCGCTCCTGATTGGCTGATTCCCAAGCAGCCAGTTTTATCTACCTGAAGAAGTCATTCTTCGTCACAGAATTGGAATCAAGCAGAATACGGGTGTTTCTAAACCAAACTAAACGTCATCGCACATCTGGTTAAAAACTAAGCTCAGAATCGATTCTGGAATTCTCAGAATCGATCCAGAATCGTTGGAGAGAGAATCGCGATGCATCGATGGATCGATTTTTTCTCCCACCCCTAATATATATAGACATACATACGATAAAAAGGTTATGCTTACAGCTACATTAATCTCTGCCAACCAGGGAAATGCACTCCGTTTATTATTGTCATAGTTTTGATGAATTCCACACAATTCAACACTGGTGCTCTCATCTGTGTGGAAGCAGGTACATAAGAACAATCATTCATTACATGATAAGAACTAGAGGTTCCTTAAGTCAATGCTTAAACTTTAAAGCATTAGTTCTCTATTCTGTCAACATTCATTAACCTCCATGTAGTTCCAAACCTGTATGACTAAGTAGAAATTTTAAAGAAAATCCCATTGTCCATTCCACATATCCAAACTAATGCATTCTCTCACAATCAAATACACGAGAATTAATGACAATTTCCGTCCATGGCGTCAAACCTGCTATGACACATCTAAAGGCACCATATTTGAATTGAACAGAAGCAGGGAGGAAATATATATCTATAAATCTCTAAATAAATTATATAAATATGTATATCTATATTAAATATAAATTATAGCTACAGTACCAATCATGCTGTCAAACATCTCCTGCACCTGGTCCAAGTCTGGAACCATAAAGAAATATTGTTCTTGGTCCCTCTGTGACACCAAGCCATTCATGTCATCTTTATGTACATCGTTTCCAATTCCAAATACATAAAGATCTGGAAAGAGAGGACACATTCGTATCAATATGAAATCAATAATAAAGTCTTCTAAATCAATATGTGCAGTTTTTGCTGTCCCTGATGATAATGCTTGTAAATGAAAGACAAATTTGAAAAATACAACTAGTCCTAAATTTTTGACTTCATAATAATGATTAATAAAATTCATTGCTTACCAAGTTTCTTCTCTCGCTTTGGATCATTTTTGATGATGAGATGTTTGATCTTGTTCACTTTAGGTATAGGATTCCCCCCCATGTTTGCATGACCTATGAAGTAGGAGATCAATTTTGATAAATTACAGTGAATATTTGCTTCAAAGTTGATCTCTAATTTATGGCAAAATGCCTGTTGGTTTTTCAAGTTTTATGGGGACTTTACATAGACATAATGATTTTTATACTCTACAAACTGTATATTCCATCCCTTAACCCCTAACCCTAAACAACCCTCACAGAAAACTTTTTTACATTTTCAAAACATTTTTACATTTTCAAAGAACACAATTTAGTGTGATTTATAGATTGTTTTTGTTTTTTTTGCTCATGGGCACCAAAAGACATTATGTACATACATGTGTGTTGTTTGAATAGTAAAGGCAAATTATGAATGGAATAGATGCAAATACCATCAGTGAACACAATGATGATGTGTTGGGTCTCAAGGAAGGTCGTTGAATTCGTGTTCTCCTCTATTGTCATGCTCTCATAAATGTTTGTATAGAGTTTGGCGATATTGGTACCTGTGCGATCACCTTTATGTCACAAAAACACCAAAAACAATTATTACAATCAGCAAGTTAATGAGAAACTTTTTAGAAAAAGTTTCTCATTAACTAAATAATTCTAAAAGCAAGTGACTACATTAAATCTAAAAACTGAAAGATTTTAAAATTAAAATGAATCTAAATTCTAAAATGAATTGGGATTTTGTATAAAAAGAATATATGATTTGTTTAATTTTTACTCTACATTGGATAGCAATGAACAAACATCCTTAAGTTAGTCTAGACTGTAATATATATATATATATATATATATATATATATATATATATATATATATATATATATATATATATATATATACACACAAGTCTACCCAAATTTATTCAGACACCTTGTTATCCTCACTTACATAAATTAACTGTTACAAGTTGCTGTACTCCTAAATGTACTATTTTGGCATGGCACATTTTTCTGTAATTATCATCTCTAAATCTGACTATCAATATATACAATAAGATTCATGTATGTAATGTATGACAATAAAACCTGTACTTACCTTCAAAACTAAAATTTTCCAGATCTTTAAAAACCTTCTCAATCTTATCTTCATCTTTAATAGTTTTATAGTCCCTCATAGAGATTATCCGGTAAACGTCCGTAGCAAACATCAGGATCTCATAGTTTGGTGAGACCTCGTAATAACTGATCTTTTGGGAAAGAGCAATAAGAATTCAGAGTTGGATGCAACATCTGTCGGTTATCCAATCAAAATGCTGGATTTAAATGTGATTATGTTGGCATTAATGATAGCATGAACAAATACCAAGATGTTAATGATAGCATGAACACATAAAGAGTTCAAGTCCACATGAAACGACATATGCATTTTGCTTCCATAATGTGAAACAGGTTTTTCATTAAGATCGAATTCAGTCTTCGACTTGATTTCATCCTCCGGTTATTGCTTGGATTGTGAACCGTGACTGTACCAGTGCTGAATGCAATTATACTGTGGATTGTAGGGGACTACTCCCCTCTTGAAATACATCAAAGGCCAAAGTATAGGCCTACTTCGTTGTTGTTTTTTTACGCTTACGCTAGCGTGTGCGTACAGTCGAAAGTGTAGCCTTTCAAAATATAGTCCATTTAATAGTGTGCGTGAATGCAGGTGGTCGACACATGCGGTCTTAAAAGATTTATCATTCATCAAGTGACAGCGCTTTCCCCCCGCGCTTTCCCCCCCATCCCCCCCCCCAGAAGTTATGATCACGACCGTCTGTTGTTGTTGTTGTTGCAATTTCTGTGATTTTGTTTTCTACTGTGAAACAACGCCCGGGCCAGTGTTGACATGTTGTGGAACAACTGATTAGTGCAAAACAAATACAATGCGCATGTGCAACCTAGCATACAAAGTCAACAAAAATCAGTTGGTGACAAAATTTGCATCACGTGCACTGTACGTGGACCCTCGCCTATGCTTAAAAAACTAAGTATACTTTAGGCTTAAAGTGATAGTTCACCCAAAAATGAAAATTCTGTCTTTATTTACTCACCCTCATGTCATTTCAAACCCGTTCATCTTCGGAACACAAATGAAGATCTTTTTGATGAAATCTGAGAGCTTTCTGTCCCTAGACAGGCAACGCAACTACGACTTTGACGCTTCAAAAAGTTCGTAAAGAGATCGTAAAACTAATCCATATGAATTGAGCAGTTTGGTCCAAATTTTCTGAAGAGACAAGATCACTTTATGTGATGAACATATTGAATTTAGGCTTTTATTTACATATAAACAATTAACATTGATCAGTTAACATAAACAGAAGCTTAACCCTACTTTCTTGACATATGAGAATTAATCTCATTGGTTCTCTTTCATCATCTCGTGTTCGAGATCCACCTATGGGAAGGGCATCCGTACCTGACCTCTGCAGAAGCATCCAATTGCACCAAGTCTGGCTAGACAGACAGAAGCGCCCAGCCAATGACAGGTAAGGCCCCACCCCCTACCTGAGGGCATATAACGCCTGCAAGCGCTGCTATTCTCCAGCTGACATTCGCTTCTTGCGATCTCTGCACGTACACAGTTCGATTGGATTACACTGTTCACTTGCGTGTCTTCAGGAGGACATATCGACTGATCAGCCTCCGCCAGACGTGACAGTCGTTTTTCAACCTATCAGCTGTGTTCTGCATCTGGAGCCGCCCGTGCTCTCGCCGTTCTCACCACCTCCTCCTTTGACGGCTCCCCCAGTGTGCCGAGCTCGGCCTTTCTGACACGGATGGGGGACACGGTGACGACGACGCGCTACCGGGGGACTCCCGGGGCGCCACCTCACTTATTTAGGCTGACCAGCCCAATCCTGTTTTCCCCGAAGAGGACATCTTTGCGGGCAACCTCACGCTCGTCGACGAACCGGCCGGTTCCGGCGATGAGGATGACACGGCCCTTCTTGGGGTCTCAGAGGACGAGGAGGCCATCCCGCCCTCTGGCGTTCCCCAGGCCATCGCCCACGTGGCCTTGCCTCAGTCAATCCTCCTGGAGGTTTGTGAGCGAGCGGCTGCTCGCCTCAACATTGAGTAGCCGGCTCCACAGAGCGCCACTGACGAGGAGAGGGACATTTACGACGGGAAAGTTCTCCTTCCAGCGTGCGCGAAGCACATGAGGCACAACTGGAGCGACCCGCTCGACTTCAAACACGGTCTCACGGGCCTTGAGGTTAAGGATATGGCGGCCCTTGGCATGGGTGACCCCCCCGCTATCGAGCCTTCCATCGCCAGGCACCTTAACCCCGCCCAGGGAGGGCTGCTCGCTCACCCTAAACCGGTCTTGCCCAACAAGATGGAGCGTTTTTCTGCCTCAGTTCACCAGGCCGCATACAAGTCTTCAGCCTTGGCTGTCAGGGCCCTGAACGTCTCTTCCCTCCTTTTGATTCGATTTTGGACGAATTAGGGCAACAGCTGGAAAAAGGAACACCTTTTTTGCCTTTGTGGAAGGAGATCCTCACGGTGAACGACCTCGTCGTCCGTAACGCTCGGCAGGCCGTCCAAGCCTGCGGGGCACTCTATGGCGCTGTCTGTTGTGGGAGAGCGCGCGCTCTGGCTTAACTTGTCGGGCCTCCCTGACAGTGAGAAGAGGCGCATCGCGGGCGCGTCGGTGGGCTCTCTTCGGCCCCGCTGTCGCATTAATGCAACACGTTCAGGGGGTCTGTCGTGAGGCAAAGTTCAAAAGCAGTGTCACCACAGTGCATACACTCTGTTCCCCTCATTCAGTTATTAAAGGCTTCGGCCCCAGTGTTTCCCCAACACAAAACACACACAAAACAAAAAAAAACACATTAAAACAAACTAATCAAATGAATTCGTTACGGAGAGAGGATCTCTCTCTGCAGAGAGAATTAATCTCCCTGCAGAGAGAGAAAATCTCTCTGAACCCCTGCATGTCGCCCCTAGTTTGTCCACAAGGGGGCGCCACTGCATCACAAATGAGCCAGCTGGGCAAACACACCGCCGCCCCGGCTCGGGTGGGAACACTCGTGAGTCACGAATGGGCTTGGCAAACTGTTTCGGCTCCCGAGTAGGTGTTGCGTACAATAATGCAGGGCTACAGACTGCAGTTTGTAATGAAACCTCCGCATTTCAACGGCGATCTCTCTTCACACACGGAAGAGAGCGCCTCAACACATTCTGAAAGAGGAAATATCCGGGTGGTCAGGTGGTCCCCCCCAATCTGATGAATCAGGGATTTTATTCTCGTTATTTTCTGGTCCCAAAGAAGGACGGCTCTCTCTGCCCAATCTTGGACCTTCGTGTGTTGAACAAACATTTGAGGAAATACAATTTCAGAATGTTAACTCATGGCTCGCTCGCCCGCGCCATAAAACATGACTGGTTCACATCGATCGATCTGAAAGATGCTTTCTTCCATATAAGCATTTATCCACCACACAGGAAGTTTCTTCGTTTCGCCTACCAGGGCACATGTTACGAATTCACAGTTCTGCCGTTTGGACTCGCCCTAAGTCCTCTGTGTTTTTGTCTGTGTGCAGAGGCGGGCTTAGCACCCATGAGAATGTCAGGTCTGAGGATTCTGACATACATAGACGATTGGCTCATAATAGCCGAATCAAAGTAGAAAGTGTTGCAGGACACCTGCCGGGTTCAGATCACATCTCTCGGGTTCAGGGTTAATGTGAGCAATAGCAATTTTATACCCAGTCAGAATGTCATTTTCCTGGGCTTGGAGTTGAACTCAGTCGCCATGCGAGCGCGTCTCTCGCGTCTCTCGATCTTCTATCGAGGGGAAACCCAATCTACGGGGATTGGTGTCTTCACCCGCAGATAGTAGATATGTTATGGATGAGATTCGGACAGGCAACCGTAGAGCTATACGCCTTGCGCGAAAACTACCATTGTCTTATGTTCTTCTCGCTAAAGGACGTGGACGCGCCCCTCGGGGTGGATGCACTGGCCCACCTATGGCCCAGAGTGCTGCTGTATGCTTTTCCTCCCCTGAGCCTGATAGTTCCCACACTGCCCAGGGTGAGAGAGCAGGGCCTGTCTCTCATTCTGATAGCACCCAGGTAGCCCAAAGCACCGTGGCTGGCGGAGATAATCCCTCTGTTGTATGCCGAACCGTGGCACCTCCCCCCTCGCATGGACCTATTGTCCCAAGCGAACAGGGAGATTTATCACCCACACCCAGACAGGGTGGCTCTCTGGGCCTGGCCCGTGAGAGGACGAACCTAAGCGCACTGGGGCTTTTGCCGCGTGTGATTGCTACTATACAGAATGCCAGGCCCGTTTCTACACGGTCCTTATATGGCTGTAAGTGGCAAGTGTTCGAAGGGTGGTGCGATGGGCGTGGTCTCACATCTTATCAGTGTTCAGTTCCTGATATTTTGTGTTTCCTTCAAGACCTCATGGAAAAAGGGAGGTCTTTTTCCACTATTAAGGTCTACCTGGCTGCGATTTTGGCTTGTCATGTGGGTTTTGAGGGCTCAACAGTCGGGCAGCATGCTCTAATCCGCAGATTTATGAAGGGTGCCCGTCGCTCTTTGCCAGTCGTCAGGAGAACTGTTCCTGAGTGGGACCTCTCCATGGTGCTGGAGGCTTTGTCTCAATATCCTTTTGAGCCTCTGGGAAGTATTTCCCTAAAGCTGCTGTCCTTTAAGACAGCTTTGCTCTTGGCTTTGGCATCAGCCAAACGTGTCAGTGAGCTACATGCACTCTCGGTTCATCCCTCGTGCACTAAATTCTCTCTTAGTGTAGATAAGGTTTCCCTTCAGCCTAATCCGGCCTTCATGCCTAAATGCTTCCCTGCGTTCACTTCGGAGGTGTTGGAGCGGTTCGCTTTTCACCCTCCTCCTTTTTCCTCCCCGGAGGATCAGAGGCTAAATGCTCTGTGTCCCGTCCGTGCTTTAGGCATATATGACCAGGACCAGCGCTTTCAGGAGGAGCGACCAGCTCTTTATTTCATGGGCGCTCCCTCATAGAGGGAATCCCATATCTAAGCAACGCCTCTCACATTGGCTTGTGAATGCTATAGCTTTGGCATATGAATCAAAGGGAGTGCAGCCCCCAGGGGACATTAGAGTTCATTCCACGAGGGGCTTAGCCGCCTCTTGGGCTTTGTTTAGGGGAGTGTCACTGCAGGACACCTGCTCCGCTGTCAGTTGGGCTTCTCCTCATACGTTTGTACGTTACTACCGGCTGGATGTCACCAGTACCTCAGTAGCACATTCGGTTTTAGGGGTGGGGTCTTCTTAGCCCTTCCCTGCAACCCCGTTGGAAGTTCAAATAAGGAGTGAATGGCCCGGCTGGCCATGCACATTCCTGTCACCAAGCACTTCTGGGTGTATATATGCACATTCGTGTTGCTGGGATTATTATCATGTGTGTGCCACTTACATGTTTCATGTCCTGCATGTGCACAGCAGTTATGTGTGTGCGTCTGGATTGCAGGTTCATGATTATGGGACATGTCAGGCACCGCCTCCCTGGGGCGACCGTCCTTTCTGGCTTTCAGAACCTCACTGTGAGTGTATTGGGCAATCGGGGAGCTGTCCATGTCTCTCCCATAGGTGGATCTCGAACATGAGATGATGAAAGAGAACAATAGGTTACTAACCCCGGTTCTCTGAAACATCGAGTGGAGAGATCCACCAGCTTTGCCCCGCTTGCCGCACGAGAAGCGAATATACTTACTGGAGTATAGCAGTGCTTGCAGGGGTTATATGCCCTCAGGTAGGGGGCGGGGCCTTACCTGGCATTGGCTGCGCGCTTCTGTCTGTCTAGCCAGACTTGGTGCAATTGGATGCTTCTGCAGAGGTCAGGTACGGATGCCCTTCCCATAGGTGGATCTCTCCACTCGATGTTTCAGAGAACCGGGGTTACGATAGTAACCTATTGTTTTTGTGTGTTAAGTGAACATGCTTGAGTTTCCGTTTACCGCAACTGATGTGTGAATTGATGAATGTTTATATGAGAATAAAAGCCTAAATTCAATCTGTTCATCATATAAACCGATGAAAAAAAGTATGCATATTTGGTGTGCTGTTCGAGAAGAGGGCTTCGAGCTCTGTTTTTTGGCCCGAACTCAGAGTACTCCCCCCAAAAATTGCAAACCAACACGGGACAGCAGCCAGGAACATTACTGTCAACCTCCAAAAATTCCGGAGCACAGGGCTGATAGTGCGCAGTTAGGAGGGGTTAGTCGGTGGACCAGGAGGGTTCTCGCAACAAACAAAAACATCGGACAAAAACATCACTGCTGCGGCAGTGGAGAAAATTAGATATAGAATCTGAGCTCCTCAGGAGCAGAACGGACATCACTGCTGCGGCAGTGGAGAAAACTAGCCAGAAAAGCTGAGTTCCTGAAGGAGCGGAGGAGATAACATTGCTGCGGCAGTGAAAGCAAGTTGGCTGGAGACATAGAGCTCCTGTTGGAGCGGGTGGGAAGACATTGCTCCAGCAGTGAAGTAGAAATATTTTCACTATTTTAGTGGATTGGTGGTGTTAATTGAGGCGTATATGGTGATCCTATAAGTTTGAGTGTGTGAGAATAAGCAGGAGCTGAAGAATTGATTAGATTGATTATAGCTCTTAAAAGCCTCTGACGTCCAGCGACTGAGTGTTTGAATCTGATGCTGCTGGGAGAAGCCTTTTTGAGCAGCTGTGGTTGCTGCACCTATGCCGAACGAACGACCGGAAAAGTGTTCGGCTGGGATGTCGGCTTGAATCAAATGGATTTGAGGTGTTTTTGGAACCAGAAACTGTGATGGAGCAATTGGAGTCAGATGGGAATTTAGCCTGTGAGCTTCTAAAATGTAAGTAGACTAAAAGGGATTAGTACGGCTGAATTGGTGACGAGGAGCAGTGTTGCGATGAAAAGTGAATATTGGGATTTAGACTGAAAGAGAGATGAAGAGGAGAGGAGCCGGGGCTGCGATTGCCAACAGAGGCAGCCTCATGCTAGCGTCTGCAACAGGAGCTGGAGTCAACGAAAAGGAGAGATTTGGTGGTAGCAGGAGGGAAAAGTAAAGACTGGGAGGCTGGGGGTGAAGCCAACGGGCATACCGAAGAACAGCGCAATGACTGGAGGAGCTGCGGTAATGCTGAGTGGAGGACATGACATCCAAGTTAATGCCCAGAAATTCAATTGACGTGACTGGACCCTGAGTTTATCCTGGGTTAAGGGATTCCATGAAAACACACTGTTTGTATGATACATTTATTTTTAGAAATTCTTAATTTTCTTTTTCTTTATTTTCCTTCCTTTGTCTTAATTTTTAGTTAAAATTGTAAAGAGTGAACTTTAAAGATGTCTTATCCTGAAACCTCCTTGTGGACAGCAGTATGTCCTTCAGAGAAAATACAGTAGTCAGAACACTCTGGGGTAGGTGCTTTTAGCGTTAAATCTAGGAGTAGCGGTCAAAAATGAATAAATAAAGGTATATATAAAATAATAATAAGTATAAATAGTATTATAGTAAATAGTATTAGGTATAATGATAGTATAATGATCATTTAATTTGCGCCGTCTATGGGGGAACGCTGAAACAAACTATTTCAAGTGTGGGGACTGAAAACTAGAAGGATTTGAGCAATGATCTTACGAGGTTGAGCAGACGGGGCGGAAAGTGCGAGCTGGCAGGGACTGAATCTGCGGTGCGGCCCTGGCTTGCTGAGGGCCTGTTGTGAGGAAAGCCTGTTCCTACGCGGGAACAGGGCAGCATTGCCTGAGACGCGAGCTTGGTGCTCAACGAGGCTTATTGTCCATTTCAGAGCCAAATGAAGAAAACTACAAGTATAGGTCTCTGCAGGACAGTAACAGGAGTTACCAGATCAGTGGGCAAGGCCATAAACAGAGGGCCGTTTTCGACCGCGTTGCCTGATTTGCCCAGGTCACAGTGTAGGTAGGGTTTAGGGGTGGGGTCGGGTGAAGGGCATAATTTTCATTGCATGATTTATATACACTCACCAGTTTGAAAACACCCACAAATTTAGAAACGCCCACTTTTGTTCTGCAAAGACCCCATACTCAAAAACTGTCAAAGAACATAGGTGTGTGTGTGTGTGTGTGTGTGTGTGTGTGTGTGTGTGTGTGTGTGTGTGTGTGTGTGTGTGTGTGTGTGTGTGTGTGTGTGTGTGTGTGTGTGTGTGTGTGTGTGTGTGTGGGCCTATAGTATATATAAGTCTCCTCTCATGCTGATTTGTGTTCCGAAGATGAACCGAAGTCTAATGCTGGGTACACACCAAAAGATTTTTTACATCTTATAAGATTTTCAAAATGTGATAGACCACAAACATGAGGACAAAAAATCCTAGATTTAAGCGTTTTGCTCCTATAGTGTGTGGTGTACCATGATGTGACAAAGACAGCACACCACACACGAACAGATTTTCAACCAGAGTCTCGACTGTGAACAAAGGAAATCTCACAAAATCTCGCGAGACTTCAGAATAAGCTTGGCGGACGATATGCAGGAAGAAATTGCGATGATAGTGTTTGGAATGATTTTCACAGAAAAACATTCGTGCTGTTGCCACAAATCAACAAGCTGATCCTCCATCTCTGCTGTCCACATCAATTTAACTTTTTGCAACACCATGACTGCGTTTGTTATGCTTCCGTCTTCCATCATCTCGCTTTCTGATTGTTTTGTTTCAGGTGATAATCTCCAGAGCGTGCGAACGTTTGTCATCGGGGTTCCCCCCACACATCAGGATTTCTGATGTTGAACATGTTGAATATTTACGATTCGCGATCGAGGTGGCTCCGACGTTCTTCCGAGCAGGTTCGGACACTCTTAACACACCTCACACCAAGGGAAAATCTGATAAGATAATCTGTAGAACCATCAAGATAATCGGGACATAGCTCGGATTGTCGGAAGGGGGAAAATCGGCCCAAAATCGGCCCGATTATCTTTTGGTGTGTACCCAGCATTACGGGTTTGGACCGACATGAGTGTGAGTAATCAACAACAGAATTTTTGGGTGAACTAACCCAAGGCTCATATTGGAGGCTTACGGCAAGATTGTGAGGTTAAAAGTTCACTATTGACAGCATCACAATTGTAATGCTTCATTTTTAAAAATTGGTATTTTTACTGCTGAATTTTTACAGAACCTTTAACATTAAAATTAACAGCAACTAAATTACTGCTTTTAGAACGAGTTAAGAAAGCTTCATTACCTTCATCAGTAGCCTAAAAAATAAGTGGTCTTACAACTTTATTACATTAACCTCTGGGGAACATACCTTATCTATAAGCAGTTTAATGGTAGTTTTTGCCTTGTCTAAATTCTTCTCTTCGATGCTGCCAGATCCATCCACAGCAATGTAAATATCAAGTTTTCCACCCTGATCCAAAGTTATTTTCTTCCTCTGCTGATCTGAAGACAGAAGGAACAAGGCATTCGCGTTATGGATTCACATTATTTTCTTTTTCGGAGCACACCAATTATTAATGACGATGAAAAACATGTGCGTTTAAGTATATGATTAAGGCTTTAAACCACAAAATATGTACCTTCTCCTTCATGCTGTTGAGAAACTGCTAGATTTGACTTTAGAGAACTGCTGAATGCTTCTGACACTTCCTCTGGGGTGTCGTATGTGAAATGTGCTGCACAACATTATAGGTGCATTATCCAAAAAAGCCACATTTCAGAGCAAAATCTCTTATTTTTGAGAACACAGGTCCATACAAAGCACATAATTTTGCAACTGCGATTTAGCAATCAGAAGACTCACCGTAGCATTGCGGCTCTGTCCCTGACCACTGGCCACCATCCTGACAGACTCGCTCTTTGGAACCAATCAAGGTCAATTTACTGTCACAGCGGTACGTGACTTTGTTGTCAATGTCAAACACGTGGCCTGTTCGACTGCTACCAGGGGGAACGCCAGGATCAGGACAGTGATCAGCTGTGAGGAAGTAACAAAAAGACTAATTGAAGTGAAGATCTGTGGACCTTTCTGATGAAATTTGATATGATTGTGATGACATCTCTGCTGGAACTGTGTTGAACTCACATGACATCGGATAAGAACGCAACAGAATACACATCACGCATCAGTACAACATTTTTTTAAGCTAAACTGAAGGACTCGTGGATATATGGAGAGATATTATACCAGGAACTAAATTAGCATTTTTATATCCGATTAGTTCATGGAAACTGCTGAAAATAATGGTAATTACTCACAGTCACGTCCACAGATTGGTGTGGTTCCATTCCATTTCCCATTAGACTTGCAAACACGGACCGCCGAGCCACGGAACTTATAATCGGAATGACATGAGTAGGTGGTTGTGTCATTTACATAGTAGTAGTTTTTATATGGGGTCACGTCTCCATTCTCCAAAACATGAGGATTGGGACATGTGACCTCTAGAATAAAAGCATGAATAAACACATGCTGTAGAAGAGATGTTTTGAAACAGCCTCGGATTTTTTTTTTTTATTACAAAAAAATACATAACTCTGCTTCAAAATAGTCCAGCGTTTATTCATGATATAATGACTCGAAATCACGGTGACCATATGGATGAACGTGATTTTACCATGTACAACATGTTCCTGGATTTACATGTTTTGGTGATGCTGGAACAACATTCCTGTCCAAAAATGTCTTACATTTAACCCTATCCCTACCCCTAAAACTAACCATTAATTCTCCCTAAAATCAGAGGGAAATGATAGGTGAATAACACAGATTGTACATGTTGTACATGAACATGTTGTTTATGATTTCAAGATGGCACCGCAGACGGCTGCCTCTGTGTGGGGCTCTCCAGCTATTGTGTTGTTTTTGTTTGTTTGTACTGTGTTTAGTCATTCGTTTCCTATCAGTTTCACTAAAGACGAACTACTGAACATTAGGAAACACACACCAGATAACTTTTCTACAGTTTTTGATTATTCGGACGTCTTGCAGGACATTCTCGTCGGAGGGGCAGCGTTGTTGTTCAAACGCGCGGTCAGACGCAAACGCGGGAAGCGAGCCGGCGCGCTGGTTATACTCCGCGAGCGCGGCCTGCGCACTGCACTCCCCAGTATTCATCTCGCGAATCTCCGATCCCTTCCTAACAAAACGGACGAACTTCTTCTCCTCACCCGCACTAACAAGGCTTTTTTAAACTCTGCTGCTCTGTGCTTCACTGAAACCTGGCTGAGTGAAGCCATACCGGACAACGCAATACATCTGCCGGGCTTCCAGCTGTTCCGAGCGGATCGCATCGTGGAGCTAACGGGGAAAACAAGAGGTGGTGGATTGTGTTTCTACATTAACGAAAGTTGGTGTTCAGATGTAACAACACTGAAGAAGATGTGCTCTCCTAATTTAGAGGCACATTTCATAAACTGTAAACCTTTCTACTCGCCTCGGGAGTTTTCCTCTTTCATTCTCGTGAATGTTTACATCCCTCCAGACGCGTGCGTGAGCGCGGCGCTACAACAGCTGGCTGAACAAATAGCTGAAACAGAACAAAGGTATCCTGACTCTATTTTAATCATTCTTGGGGATTTTAACAAAGCAGCTCTTTCCCGTGAACTACCAAAATACAGACAGCACGTTACATGTCCCACGAGAGACAGTAGGCCTAATATACTGGACCACTGTTACACCACAATAAAAGATGCGTATCACTCCGTTTCACGAGCAGCTTTGGGGCTCTCTGATCACTGTTTGGTTCATCTCATACCGACCTACAGGCAGAAACTGAAATCAGCTAAACCTGTAATAAGGACTGTAAAAAGATGGACTAATGAAGCAGAGCAGAATCTACAGGCCTGCTTTGATTGCACTGATTGGACTGTTTTTGAAGCTGCTACCAACGATCTGGATGAGCTCACAGATACTGTAACATCATATATAAGTTTCTGTGAGGATACATGCATTCCTACCAGGACATTCTTGTCATTTACTAATGATAAACCATGGTTTACTGGGAAACTCAAACACCTTCGTCATGCCAAAGAGGATGCGTACAGAAGTGGGGATAAAATCTTGTATAACCAGGCCAGAAACAGACTGACACAGGAGATCAGAGTTGCTAAAAGAAGCTACTCTGATAAACTGAAAAAACAGTTTTCATCCAACGACCCATCATCAGTCTGGAATGGCCTGAGGAACATCACCAACTACAAGTCACCATCCCCCCGATTTGTGGACAATCAACACCTGGCTGATGATTTAAACTCATTTTATTGCAGGTTTGAAAAGCCCTCATTCACACCACACACCGGCCCTGACCTGCACTTCACACATTCACCATCACCTCCTGCACTCCCATTACTCCCCCCTCCTGCCATCCAACCTGAGCTTAAGGTCTGTGTGGAGGACGTGAGCCGAGTCTTCAAAAAACAGAAGACTAGGAAAGCCTCAGGCCCAGACGGCATCTCATCTGCTTGTTTAAAAGCCTGCGCTAACCAACTGGCCCCGGTCTTCACGCAGATCTTCAATAGATCATTGGAGCAGTGTGAAGTTCCCTGCTGCTTCAAACGCTCCACTATCATTCCTGTCCCCAAAAAAACCAAAATCACTGGACTTAATGACTACAGACCTGTCGCTCTCACTTCTGTGGTCATGAAGTCGTTTGAAAGACTGGTGCTGGCCCACCTGAAGGACATCACTGGACCCCTGCTGGATCCCTTTCAGTTTGCTTACAGAGCAAACAGGTCTGTGGATGATGCAGTCAACATGGGACTGCATTATATCCTGCAACATCTCGACAGACCAGGGACTTATGCAAGGATCCTCTTTGTGGACTTCAGTTCGGCCTTCAATACCATCATGCCTGGTCTTCTCACAGCCAAACTGACCCAGCTCTCCATACCATCCTCGATCTGTCAGTGGATCTCCAGCTTCCTGACGGACCGGCAGCAGCGAGTGAGACTGGGGAAACTCACATCCAGGACACTCACCACCAGCACTGGCGCCCCTCAAGGGTGCGTTCTCTCCCCACTGCTCTTCTCCCTGTACACTAATGACTGCACTTCTAAAGACCCCACTGTCAAGCTCCTGAAATTTGCCGACGACACCACTGTCATCGGTCTCATCCGGAACGGTGACGAGTCTGCTTACAGACTGGAGGTTGAACAGCTGGCTGTCTGGTGCAGTTATAACAACCTTGAGCTGAACACGCTCAAAACAGTGGAGATGATCGTGGACTTCAGGAGGAACAGCCCAGCACTCCCCCACTCACCATCATGAACAGCACTGTGGAAGCAGTGGAGTCATTCAGGTTCCTGGGCACTTCCATCTCTCAGGACCTGAAGTGGGACAATCACATTGACTCCATTGTGAAAAAGGCCCAGCAGAGACTGTACTTCCTTCGCCAGCTGAGGAAGTTCAACTTGCCACAGGAGCTGCTGATTCAGTTCTACTCAGCCGTCATTGAGTCTGTCTTATGCACTTCCATCACTGTCTGGTTTGGTTCAGCTACCAAATCAGACATCAGGAGACTACAACGGACAGTCCGGACTGCGGAGAGGATTATTGGTGCCCCCCTGCCAACCCTCCAGGACCTGTACTCTTCCAGAGTGAGGAAGAGAGCAGGTAAAATCATCACAGACTCCACTCACCCTGGACACCTCCTGTTTGAACTGTTACCGTCAAGACGGCGACTCAGATCACTGGCCACTAGAACATCTCGGCACAGGAACAGTTTCTTCCCACAGGCCATCTCCCTTCTGAACAGTTAACACTCCTCCCAAGGCATATGCCTTAAGTGCAATACTCCCACTGTTTAGTGCAATATCCTACAACTCAGGTAATACTTATATGTAGATTTATTTATTTATAATATTCAAAACACTGTAAATATGTTCATAATCTGTAAATCTGAAAATGTCTATTCTGACTAAACCCAACTGTGATACTTTTATTCTCATATATTTATATTTTTATTTTTTATTCTTATAATTTGTAGTATTATGTTTCTTGTTGTATTTGTATTTGTATATGTCCACTGGAAGCCTCAGTACCAAAAACAAATTCCTTGTGTGTGCAAGCACACTTGGCAATAAAGCTCTTTCTGATTCTGAGATGTAGAAGCACCTAAACTGGTTTGTAAGCCTAAACTTGACATAAACTCTAAACGTATCCCTCCAATCTGATTGGTTGACTGGAATGTTGTTCAAGGATCAACAAAGCTGTTGATCAAGGCACATGTTTTACTTGGTGAAATCACGTTCACACACATGATAATGTCTTGTTTCTTACTTTTGCACTCTGGGGGTTTTCTGGCACTAGGCTTTGGGGTCCAAAGTCCATATTGACAACGACGCGACTGAACAGATGGGTAATATCCATCCGGACAGATGTATCTTAGAACACTCCCATCTGAATAGCCATTTGAAGGAACAAAGCTCCCTCCAACAATGTTTAGATTCGCCTCGGGACATGATCCGTGTCTTTTGGACATGGAGGATGGAGCACCTAGAACAATCAGATCATTGGAGGAGGTCACAAGAAAAAATACTTTTGTTGTGGTTTCATTTCCAGAGAAAATGCATATATATACAAGCCAAAATACAGATTTAGATGAGAATTATTTGTGAGCTGTCTATCATAAAGTCTTTAAAAGTATACCTTCATTTTTAATATATTCCTTTCATGCTAAAAGACGTTTTGTCTGAATTTTAGAATGTATTTATCTTGATTAAGCAAAAAGACTTACCGGCAATAAGAGGACATATCATTGCAAACATTAACCAATTCAACCGCTGCTCACACTCCATGCTGTTTATTTCAGTTCTTCAGCTGAGATGGAAAAAAAAAACTGAAGCAAATGGACCAGGGGACATCTTTTTATAGTGGGGTCAGCAAAAGGATTTTATTTACATTCAGTGGTCAATGTTTAACCTTAAGTCAAATAAAGCAAATCAATTTCCCGGCACACGGAACAAAATAATAACCATAATCAGTACATCATTATATATTCAAAAATCACAACAACAAAAAACAATTATGTTCATCTCCATCTATCATGGATTCTATTTGCAATTTTTCATCAAATATACAGATGAATATAAAAGCACATTTGTTTGGGGAATACTGAATATGTTTAGAGTTAAACACAATCATGTGTTTTCTTGGGTCCAGAGAGCAGCTCAGACTCAAGGGGTCATTTGAGAACACTATTAAACTGCTCGCCTCATACATTAACACCAGCTTAATGCATGAATATTAATAGATACAATCATATATAATCAAAGAACTAAACATTTGAACATTTTAGACTAATAATTAAATCATTTTGTAAAAGCTATAGCTATGTGCAATAGATTCATCTTTGGAACTAAATACATTTGTTATTGACTTTGCTGGTAATAATAAACGTGTCCTATTTTAATGGAACGTGTTATAACTCCTGATTTAAAGAGAAATAGAAAGACTTAAAAAGGAGAAAGTAAGGAGTATCATGATAAGTCTGTGTTTCTGTAGAATTTTGATATGGTTTCCCTTTTTTTTTACTTTTGTTTCCTTGTTTGAATTTGTTGCATTGTTGTTCATGGTTTGATTAAGTTTTGACACCACGTTTCTTTGATTGGTTTGAGTTTGTATTATAGTCCTAATTTTTAGTTCTTGGTCTGATCTTGTTGATTGTTCTGTTTCTGTTTTTAGATTTCTTGAAAAAGTGTAATTTTTAGGGTTTTATATATGAAGAGTTCAGATGCAAAAGCCTCTAAGTGCCATCTGATATTTTCTTCTAGAATGATCATTTTTATCAAGCTCGTATATTTAAGTTCAGTAATTTCACTTAAATGACAATGAAAATTACCTATTAATTGTCATTTAAGTGAAATTACTGAACTTAAATATACGAGCTTGATAAAAATGATCATTCTAGAAGAAAATTTCAGATGGCACTTAGAGGCTTTTGCATCTGAACTCTTCATATATATATATATATATACAATTTTACTGCATATCCATATCTTTTTTAATTCCGTGTTTGTATCCTAATTAACACTGACAATGTAAACTTAGTAGGCCGAAGTCCTAATGGAATTTGAAAACAGTGTCATCTTGTGGCAGGCCAATTTAGGCTAGCCGTACACCCCGAGTGCGCAACTCCGTTGATAAAAGCCTGATAACGCTTATCAGGCTTTTATCACACAAAATGTGTTCAGTTTTCTGAGAATATAGTTCACATATTCTAGTGTTGCAATAAATTCAATGTAATAACAATAATAACACTACCATGTATGAATATTGAATAATCCATATTTCACAGCTCTTCTCAAATTTACTTAGCCTTAAGCTTTTTGCAATATAAAAATGATCAATATGTAGTCTATTTGCAGTATAAAAAAATAATTGTGGATTATATTGTGCTTATATGAGTGTTGACTTTATTAATATATTAAACAATATTAAATATTTGTTAATGAAATATTAATAATTATGAAGGTAAAATAATGCCATAAAGAATCGCATGCGCAGGGTAAGATTTGTGAAAGAGTACATAAGATTGTGTAAGGCCGTCTAATTCGATCCAACAGCAGAATTCAAATTAGCGGTGAAGGTCTCACGCGTGTTCCGTCTCTTCCCATGGCAAAGGGATTTTCAATTGAATGCAATACATTGTATCTTATGTATTAACTCGTTTCATCTGACTCCATAAAATGAAAAAGTTTTTCAATGATATCTGTGCATCATTAAATATACGTTAATGTTTGACTATTCCTTTTAACTCCAATGGAAATGAAGTCAAAGTCTGTTAGAATAATCAAATATAACAATTTATTATGTCAGGTAAAAGTATTATGCCAATTTCATAATCAGTTCAAAGATCATCAATACAAAACATCAAATGCTTTAGGATAAGAGAAATAGATGCAAACCCAACATTTAAGAACTACATGAGCTAACCTCACGGGCTATCTGAAATACAGAAAGAGCCACGATTCCTTGCTGCATTCCATTAAATAGCCAGAACTTCTTTACAATGGTAATTTGCATTCAGGTTACACCTTATTTTGGGGGTAGGGGAGCAAGACCATTTGCCTAGAGTCCACCTTCCTTTGTGTGTCATCTCTAAACTTCTAAAAAACCTTATTAGCTTTTGTTTTACCAAATTGGAAATGAGACATCTGTACCACTCACCCTGCAGTTTAAATTATACTAAACAAAATACTCAATGATAATCATTCACATTAAACCATATTCTTATGTGAGTTTTTATGCGTCACTGAGAGAGAAATGTAGATGAGGTGAGACTTTTGTCTCCGGGTAAGAGGGGGGAAGCCAAATGTTAATTTCCAGCTTCAACCAGTTTTCTTCAGTCTTACAATTGCAAGCGTAAAATAAATGTGCATGCGCAAGAGAAGGTTTGTAAAGGTGAAATCTAAAGAATCTAGAATCTTCTAGAATCACAAAACAAATCATGGTTGATTAAATGTATTTTATCAACATTAACAGTTTCTGCTAGTAAAAATGTCAGTACAGTAATATAAAATCAGTGATATATGGTTGTGTATTGATGTCACTAACTTGATCATGATCTAACAACAAAAATATAACTTTTTCAAAATGAGGATTTGTAAGGTGACATCAGATAAGCCGTGAGTGGAGTTCTGATGCTGATGTCAACTGATTTAGAGAACAGAAAAACAGTTGGCATCATGGCCATGCTGAATTATTCAGAAAAAATAATAAGATGTTAACTTTCATTTATTTTATGACATAATGTTAGCATAATTGTCTCTCTAACCTTGACAGTGGCCATGTGGCTGTTATCTTTTTCTTGTTGGGAATGGGAACTCTGCTTCCATGGAACTTCTTCATAACCGCAATGAATGTAAGACAGACATACTTTTACTGATTAATACTTAAAGGGTCATGAAACCCCCCTCTTTCAGCTCAAGTCTAGCTCACAATCTTTTTGAAAAATGTAACTTAAATGGTCGTGGATGGCTTTGAGAATAAGGGAGGGGAGTGGGTAGGATGCTCATTTTTTCAAGCATCCTACCCACGGCAGGGGAGAGGGGAGGGCAGGATAACTGTCATCAGCCAGTGGCCCATGCATATCAACTGTCACTAAAAATCAGTGGTAAAACGTGAGGAAATGCTAGATTTTTTTATAGCTGGCTAAGTTAAAGTCCCTGTAAAGTCAAAATTAAGTATGTGTTCTGAGTTAAATGTCATGTACTCATACTCCATTCTCTTCTGTTTGCAGTATTTCACTGACCGTTTGAGAAATAGTACAGATTCTTCACAGTCAGACCCATATATGTTTGATAACATGAGTGTGCTGTTAGCCCAGCTTCCCTTGCTGCTATTCACACTTCTCAACTCCTTTCTATACCAGCAGTGAGTATTTGGTTCAGTCAAGCAAAGTTCATTTTGTTTACTTTTGCATGTCGTAGTGTTGTATTGTGTGTATTGGTACAGATATGTATATCATATTATAATCATGAGTTATTTTGTTCTCTTTTGCTTATGTAGCATTGCGGAGAAGATGCGGATTGCAGGTAGCATGGTCTTCATATTACTTCTCTTCATTCTCACAGCCATTTTAGTAAAAGTTAAGATGGACTTTTCCATTACCATGGCAACAATCTGGTTTATTAACAGTATGTTTCTTATGCCTTACATCTACAGTATGTTCGCATTTCCCTTTTCACTTCATATTGAATAATAGAGTGTTAGAATATATCCACTCCACTTCTACTTCAACACTAGCCTTGTTAAAACCAGACCATTCTCAGTTGTAAGTAACTGAGTTATGGTCTGGCAAAGCGTCATAGACAAATCATTTCCAGAGGGGCGTCACCAACGAACGTTGCGGATAGACCTAAAACCAATCAGAGCGATGAAGGAGATGACGTATGCAGAGCGGCGGAGAAACATCTCCGAGTGTTGTTCTTTGCTCGGTTTTTAACAAAAAGGAAACGTTCAAATCGCCTAAAATAGACGCGATAGCTGATTCGAACGAGTGATGTTCGACGGCGGCATCCATCTTTGTAATGTAGGCTACAAAATCTGCTTCAAAATCCCAGCGCTGTCGTCATCGTGTAAAGCCCGCCTCAACGTTTCTGATTGGTGCCTCGATTTCGACGGATTGGAAATGGGCTTGAATGAGCTCTTTGCCAGACTAACTTTCAGAGCAAATCTAAATTTGCCGGAAGTTGTCTGGGTTTTCCCTGGCTACTTCAACACCTTTCAGTGAGTGAATCAGTTAGACAAATCTAACTCCCTTCGTTGTTCTTGCACTTTTTTTTTCTCTCAGTGTTTGGGGCCGTTCTGCAAGGTAGTCTGTTTGGTCTGGTCAGTAAGCTACCCCCAAGATTCAGCTCCCTGTTTATGAGTGGACAGGCAGTGGCAGGAATCTTCTCGGGTCTTGCCATGCTGTTATCGAATATCTACCTGCATACTCCTTACAAATTGAATGATAAAAATCATATTCTTCTAAATAATTGTGTTGATTTTGTGTTGACAACCAGCTTATTACATGGCTAGCCACATCAAATGGCTGCCCACTGCTCCGGGCGTGTGTGTGTGTCCATGGTTTGCAGTGTGTGTGTGTTCACTACTCACTAATCCTAATGTGTGTGCAGTAACTTAGATGGATTAAATGCAGGGGACAAATTTCGAGTATGGGTTACCATACTTAGCCTTCACATGTCACTTTCATAAGTGAATAATAAAAAATATTGATTTGAGTTGAAATATTTTATTAGCTCATTAAACACAAAACTAAAAAACACCAACAACAAAAAAACAGTTCCTAGCAAGCAGCTTTTAGCCTTGACGAATTAACAAGTTTGATGGGTATTTAAGGGATAATGTACAGTCGTATCACTTATTACAGCTTTTAACCACATAAATAATGAAGGGGACATGAAATATTGATTTGAGAAGAAACTGCTTTAAAATATGACTTGTTTATTATCTCATCCATTAACATGTACAAAAGATCAACCCCCCCCCCCTTATAAATGCACTTATATATGCACTTATATATGTACAGGGGGTTAGTGATGAGCGGCTCTGTGATCAGTAGTAAATGCTGCTCCATCTGAATCACTTAACGTGTATTTGAAAAACCAAACCGCGTCAAGCACCTTCTCAAACTTTATTTAATTTCAATTTTAAAACGCAATGTTTTATCTCTGTTATTCTGAACATTTAGCATAGCCCTAATGTTTGTAATTTTTTCACAATTTCTTCAAGCTGTAACAGAATGTTTGTGGGTGCAGGCGGGAGTGAAACACATTGCGGGAGCAGGATTAAAAAAACAGTCCCATGCAGGCCTCTAATGTGCAGCCCTATTCGACACCATACTTACTTGTTGAACCTAAATAATTCGAGGTGCTTTTTATTAAAACTCTGAGAGAAAAACATTTATGCTGACAGTTATGTTTTTATGCCTCCTTTAGTTAAAACCGACTCTGAGAGTTCTGCCCTTGAATATTTCATTAACCCCTGTGCCGCCACCATACTTACTTTGTGCTGCTATCTCATACTTCCGCATCTGGTATCTCATACTTCCGCATCTCAAGCAAGAACCTGAGGAGAAGTCAACTGTGCCACAGGTCTTCAAAAAGGTATAATGAAAGTATTTTGTTATTATATTGTAGATATGGGTGATGGCATTTTGTGTGACATGCGTGTTTGCCGTCACGCTGTCCGTTTTCCCAGCAATTACAGTAAATACAAAATCTTCTGGCTTATTTGAAAGTGAGTGAGTCTACAAAAGATTATAATTATACATTATGCTTTTCAAAGCACTTTGATTTATATTCTTTTTCATCTTATAGAGAACATCTTTATACCTTTGTGTTCATACATTGTCTTCAATGTGATGGACTGGATAGGCAGAAGTCTCACTTCTCGTTTTCAGTGGGTGAGTCTCATCAGATCCTGTATCAACACAATACAGTGCTATGCTGATGATTACCACTGGAAATTATTCTTTATCTAACATCTAATTTTTCTTTTCCCAAATTCCCAGCCTTCGATGAAAAGTAATTTATTCCCTCTTTTCGTGGTATTACGGGTAGTTTTCATTCCTGCCCTCATGCTCTGCAATGTTCAGCCTCGCTTCTATCTTCCAGTCTTTTTCAATCATGACATGACTTATATTATCTCCATGTCTTTGTTTGCCATCACAAGTGGATATTTTGCCTGCCTCTCCATGAGCTATGCTCCACAGTAAGTACTCTTAAAGATAACACATCTTTTTTCGAGATTCAAAATCAACTGGGTTAAGTAAATAGTAAATTTATTCTGTAATGTCACTATTCCTGGTATTCTCAACCCATTGACCCACATAATATATCTCAGAACACCCACAAACTCTTCTGTTTATTTTTTATCTAGGCTGGTGAGGCCTAAAGATGCAGAGACAGCAGGGGCTCTGATGACCTTCTTCCTGGCTTTGGGACTCTCTCTGGGTGCCGCTCTCTCCTTTGGCCTTAAAAAAATTATTTAGGGAAAATCTCACAAGCTGACACTGCTGTTATCTCATTACTCACCAACATAAACATGTTTCGAGTGAGAATTGTCTTGAGGCCTTTGTATATTTATTTTTCCTCGCTCTATTCAAGTACACTCTGGACTTTATAGCACTTTATAGTCATGATTTTGAAGATTTCATGAAGACAAGAAGGAGAAACAAATTTAGATACCATAGATGTAAACTTTTTATCTTAAAGGTACAATATGTAGGAATTTTTCGCCACTAGAGGGCGCAGTTACCAACAATAACAAAGGCGAAGCTTGGTGACGCTATGAGGGAGAGTTGAACGATGGGAGATATCGTTTTCACCATCCAGAGATGTTATAGAATTAATGAATCATGATCACGGATGAGGTACTTTATTTGTTTTTGTATTACCTGTACGTCTGATCGCAATATTTTATGTCACCATCAGTGCTTTAAGTGGGCCGGTATGCACCGGTACTCAGTACCGCCACTTCCAAATATAGCTCTTGAGCGTACCGCCACTTCTACGTGCGCCCAGAACGTGCTTTTAGCGTACCGGCACGCTCATTTGCACATCTGTTTTAATCCTTTGGCTGCGCTGCCGCTTTTCAGAGCTCCCTTCACAATGCACGCCTCCTAATTCGTCCCACCGAGAGCAGAGACTACATTACCCATACACCCTTGAGTTTTACAAGTGAAAAGCGCATGAGTCGATTTTGCCGCTGTCAGTGTTAGCTTCTCGGTTAAAATACAAATAGAGCATCACAGTGCGTGCCGTGTAACTATCTGGTTAAACCCCGCGAAGGTCCATGAAGACTGAAGATCGTGTTATGACGTAGGGTTAGCTCATTGGTCGCACGTCAGAGGCGCCCGCGCCATTGGATGTGCAGTTGCCGCAGTACAGCCTATGAGCGAGCCAGATGCTCAATGTGTTTTACATATAAGCCTCATTAAATCAGAATCAGAAAAGGAGTTTCCCTGCACATTCTCTATATAAAATTCATTCAATTCACTGGAGGAAAAAGTTTGCGTGGCCGTCGTCAGATTTGGAAGTCGCTCAAAAGGCTCTTTCGCGGTTGTGGCTTCAGTCGACTTCAGTGAGGCGCGGTGGTTTATGGGATGAGTAGTTCCTTCGCTCGGAAATGAAAATATGTACACAGTCTTGTACCTTTGACTTTATTTGTATTTTCTCTTCGTTTTTTCACTCGAAATGATATGTTGTATGCTTATGAGTTCAGCCGTAGCTGGTTATCCTCAGACATGCTCTAAAACTCTTTAGATACGGTTTTTCCAAAACGTCAATGGGAGAAATGAATGGGAAATTTACTTCCGGCACCGAAGCTCTCTCGGGCTATGGGCGGGACTGTGATGCTCCCCAGACAATAACATTTAATTTTGTAACAGAATAATTTTTTTTTTTTAAATTTTACAAATGTAATTTTACTCTGTTTATTAATCTTTTTACTCAACATTTGTGCAGTTTTTGGAGGATTTATGATATATTTTAAATTTCTATAAATAAATAAATATTTATTTAAATAGGCTTTTTACAACAACAAAAAACAGCATTTTATGTCAAATTCACTTTATAAAAGACCCAGATTTCTAACTTTCATTCATGGAGATAACATGGATAATTTTACATGGTTTAATGTAAGATTTTTGGCCATTTTTTTGAAAATGCAGTTTTAAAATAAGATAAAAATCACTTTAACCACTAGATGGCTATAGAGCTTCACTATATGCTATTTGCTATTTGACTAATCAAAATATATCTTTTCACAAGTTTTTCCAGTTGGATTCATATCCACATTTTGTACATTTTATTTATGTTCAGTATAGCTCTTTCTACTGTAGCTCTTTCTAAGGGTATTTTTTCAATACCCTTTTGCACATTTTATTTATGTTCAGTAGCTCTTTCTAGCTAAAGCAAATCTACAAACTAATAAAAGGATTTATTATTTTTTATAAGGTCGTCTATTGACTGCTGTTTATATAAAACCCCATCAATATAGTTGTTGTTACCTCAGGGGAGGAGGGGAGTCAGCAAAAAATAAATACATAAATAATAATAATAGAGTACTGCCACCTCTTTTGGGCCACTTAAAGCACTGGTCACCATAATGAATTAACTGCAAGGAACGTGAAATGTTATGCTATATTATCCTGTTATAGCTATTTGTCAAATGATTTGTTGGGTTAATGCTGGGCAGTTTTACGTGTTTATCATTAATGCCGTGTTGTTTTGTGTTCAAACCAATCTCAAAGTAAATTTGAACGAACATTTGCAAGTAATGGCTAAATATTGTTTAACAACACATATCCGATTGTATTTAATTGCACTGCCATAATCTCGGTCAAAACACAAGTGATAAACAGCATTACCAAAGTACAAAGCACAATATAACTGAATTTTCATCAGCAAAACGATCACTTGATAGTTTTTGAGGTGAATCAACATATGCATAATGATTGATCTGTCACGTCATTAAGTGATATTATTGAAAGTTGCATGTGTTGCAAGGAAACACAGATACATCCTTTTGTTTTATGTTCATTTGCTCACCTGTCTAATAAAGTATATGCAAGAGCGGTGTTGCTCATCCAAGTTAGTCGCGGACGTGGAGCTCTCGGCATCTCGAAAACGCCACGCCGATATTGATCCTCATTTTAGTTCTCCTTTTTTTTTGTCCCAAAGTCTGCTTGCCATGGTCCATAATGATTGAACGAAACAACAACAGCGTGCAGCTAAACGTTACGCACTACGCAGTTGTCCACGTCTGTCGCCATGGTTACGTCATGGCTATGGCAGTACGAGCGGAAGCCGAGGAAAGCGCGGATATTGCGTCATTGACAGGCGACATTTTTTTTCCGGGACGGCCACTTATTTAAAATTGGAATTTCTCTGAAATAAACAATCTTTGGAGACTTTTGGGATATTGTAAGTACACAACTGCAGGAAACATCACACTGTGCAAGTGATTTTTGGATATTTTATTACAAAATTCCTACATATTGTACCTTTAATCTAATGGGGTATTTATGTTCCTTCCTTTCACTTTTACATTTCCATGGGATGTTTTTTAAGGGAAATATTTAACTTTTAACATGTTTTTTTTTTGTTTTTTTTTATTACATTTGTGATCCAAGATTCATGAATTGTATATTTATTATTATTATATTGTTTAAAAAAAAATCTTTGAAATCTTTTAAGTTGTATCTTGGTGCAGCTATTTACCTTTTATATTTTGTACGCTTTTTTTATTTGTTTGTGTGTGTGTTTTTTAAAATAAAATGTATTTTAAAAATGCAAAAATGTCAACGCTTCATGTGATTAGTCACTTTGACCTGTCGGTAACAGCTGAAGCCCTGCATAGAAATAAAAAAAAGATTAGATTTGCTGGTGCCTTATGTGGAATTTTGTGGGCTTAGCATGAATTGTCAGTTTTCACATACTGAGCAACATTACTATTATATTCTATGCATGATGGAAAGCTCTTTACTAACGTTAGCACTCAAGACCAATGAAATACACTTAGCATATATTGATGTTTTCATTTAGTTCAGATAGACGCATATATATATAGTGGTCAAATTGATTGTATCTAACATAAGTTTTTATATAATATGTGCATGTTATATAAAAACATATATATATATATACACACACACACATTACATAAATAAAAACATGTTAGATTAATCGATTTGATAGCACTAAAATATATATATGCAATATGCTTATATATATATTAAACAACAAAATACACAAAATTTGATATTAGGATCATTTATTTTTCTTCCTCCAAAATGTAAGCCATTTGTATGAAGGGAGAGCAGATGTCTCTTATTAACTGTCAATGTGAAGAATGATGTTCTGACAGGTTTTTGTACTCTTCAATCCTTACTGGCTTGTGAAAACTTTTCACAGCATGAGGGACAGACCACTAACAAGGATCAAACAGCAATTGATGGTGTCCCTCATCATGGGATATCAACTGGTGACGCACAGGACCAAATCATTGCAGCAAGCCCATCCATTACATCTGACACGGTTCTTGGAGTTAGATGTTTAAGGGTTTCATGAATTTAGGGGAAGGGTATACTATAGGTGGTGGATGTGACAAAGGGCTCTACAAGTCACTCTCTCCATACAGGGCACTGGAGAAGGAGATATAATCAAGGGAGCCTGGGGGAGCATCGCCGCCCATGTACTTGGTCATGCGGCTGATACAGTATTCGGCTTGTTCTGGGGGCAGCTCCCTTCTCAGCTCCTCCACTGTAATGTATGCCTGCAGAATGTAGTAAAAAATGGATGCTTAGACAACAGGAGCCATATTTAGCAGATTCACATAAAGCACATAGGTTCTTTTGGTGGTTCTTAGTTTGGAATTACCTTGTCAGAAGCTAGTATCTTGAAGGAGGCCACAACTTGTTCAGCAGTGTCAGTCTCTGCTGTCTCCCTGGTCATGAAGTCAATAAAGGCCTGGAAGGTGACAACTCCTGTGTTGTTGGGGTCCACCAGAGTCATAATGCGTGCAAATTCAACTTCACCCTAAAAAAGGGGGGGGGGGGGGGGGGGGGGGGGTATGAGAAATGATTCCTGGTATTTCTGGATGATTTTAAAGCAGCAGGAAAAGAAAAAAAACTGGCAGTCATATTTTGACCAGGACTAAATGCCCTCACCAGATCATAACCCATAGAAATCAGGCAGGCACGGAAGTCATCAGGATCCATCATGCCATTCCTCTTCTGCAAATACAAAAAAGTGAGGTGCTTATTCTACAATTTGGACAATGTTGCACAACTTTGTGTATTCTAAGTAGAAACCAAAGACTCCATGTATTGCAAACCCGGTCAAAGTGGTTGAATGAGGCTCTGAACTCATTCAGCTGCTCCTGGCTGATGCCCTTAGCGTCACGGGTCAGGATCTGGTTCTCAATCTCATTGATTGTGCGGGCAATAGTGGTGAGGAGCTGCTCCCATCCCACGCGGACATGCTGAAATGTACATAATAGGAAACGTGCCTTGTAGGTAAGA